TCTGAGAAGAAGGAAGGGTATGTCTGAATCCCATACCTTTACTATTTAAGTCTTAGAATCTTTTGCTGCAGACTCTCTTAGGAGAGGCATGTCGCTGTTCATCTGTCTTTCCCTGTCTCTCTTTGTAAGAGCCACACACCCTTGATGCCTTATGACTTCCCTGTTCTCTGCTGTATGAAGCCATGGCAAATGCTTCTTTGTTTATACATTTCAACTCAGGCAGTGTGAGAGCTTTTTGTTCATTCATTTTGAGTTTGTGTCAACTCATCTCTGTGCTTTTTGCAATATTTTTATTGATCATAATTTATCAAGACTTGCTATATGCAAGGCACTGTGCTGGCCCTGTAATGCATTTATAATTAAGTGTAGAACAAAAGCTGGTAAATAACTCCTAGTAATTCATAGTTAGCACAAGCTACATGGAGGCAAAGTAACATGCTCATTGACATACAGAATTTGATCTTATTAACTGGGATGTCATTGTTAAAGATCTTAACAAAAGGGTCTTAACTATTAACTAGAATTTCACAGGATAAAGTGATGAAAGAATAGGGAAAGAAAAGGAATTATGAGTTAAAACTGAAGACCTACCAAAGTTCCTTTCAAATAATAGTTATATTTGTATGATGCCTGTTAGGACATAGAAGAAGAAAAATGTTTTTGTTTGTCTACAGAAGCATTCACTGACTCATTCTGGTCTAGAACCACAATACTTTTGTCCTGTAGAACCTTCCCAATCAAGGTGTTTACCACAGTGTCTACTTGGCCTCCCTGTCCCATTCTTGGTTCTAACACTCTGAAGAGAAAGGATTTCATATTATTCATCTTGCTATCTTTAATACCCACAGAAAACATTTTATACATATATATGTTTTCTGTGGTATATATCTTTAGTTTGGTTTTTTAAATTTGTTTTAATTAGTTACACATGACAGTACAATAATCTTGACATATCCTACATTTGAATCAGATGGGATATAATTTCTCATTTTTCTGAGTGTACAGGTTACAAAATTACATTGGTCATGCAGTCATGTATATACCCACAGCAATAATAATGTCTATTTTATTTAGTTTGTTTTAATATTAAACTTTGTGCACAGCTTAATAGTATATTCTTGAATCACTAACATAAAGTTTTTAATTATTAGTTCATATACATTGTAGAGTTATTCTTTGCATGGCATATCTAAGTTATCGATAGATAAAACTAAGTAACTATAAAGATAAAATTATCTATCTCTCTACATATGTGTGTGTATATATATATATAACTACATATATGAAATTATTGATTAATTGCATTTTTTTCAAGACAAGTCTAAATGCGATGTCCTTTAGGATAATAACTCAAGATTTCTCACTTCATGTGTAGTCTGTAGACGTCTCCTCAATTCACCTATGAAATATTAGTCTCTATTTTACCTACACCCGTAACTTTGTCATGTCCTTAGAATAATAAGAAGAGATGCATCAAATAGTTTACTAAAATCAGGGTGACTCAGGAGTAAATCCCCTTTTGTACCTTATCAAATAGTAAAAATCTAATGAATCACAAAATCTGACACTTATGAACAGTTTTGAGTCATCACTGTTTTCTTTTCTAAGAACTCAAAATTATTTTCTTTCCCCCAAAGGAATTTTGCCATTTGATACAAAATGGATGAAATTGGAAGAAGCTATGCTATGTGAAATAAGCCAGTCAGAAAAGGACAGATGCTGAATGCTCATACTTATATCAGGTATTTATAATGGTTATCTCATAGAAATAGAGAATAGAATAATGGGTTTCCAAAGTCTTGTACACTTTGGTTAAAACTGAGTTAAAACTGAAGACCTACCAAAGTTCCTTTCAAATAATAGTTATATTTATATGATGCCTGTTAGGACATAGAAGAAGAAAAAATGTTTTTGTTTGTCTACAGAAGCATTCACTTACCCATTCTGGTAATCATGAATTACCAATTTCCTATTGCAGAAATTCATCAACTATTCCAGGATAGAATTGACCCATAATCAGGGTTGGCTGCCTATGGCTGGAGATGGCCCACTGATGAGTCAGAAAACACTTGAAAGCAACATTTTAAAATTGAGTACATGTCTTTCTGTGTCTGCAATTTCTTAATAATCAGTAGAAAGAAAGTTCTGTGTTTTCCCTGTTTTGAGACTATATAGCAAAATTTTTTTGGAGGGTAAGAAATATACCATATTGTTTGAAGAAAAACTTCATAGGCACATTTGGCATGAATACAGAGATGAAGATCAAATATAACCGAGAAGAGGAAAGCTTACTGGATGGTGTTTTGTAGGTGATGATGGAATGTTCTCTAGCACCAGCATGGTGTCATCGCTATTTTGTAGTTTTTTTAATGACATGTAACTCACATATTACAATATTGACCTTCCTCATGTTTAGAATTCAATGGTTTTTAATGTATCTTTGAAGTTGTATGTCCATCACTATGTTTTAATTGAAGAATATCTTCACCACCACCACCACCACCACCATAAACATAGCCCAGCCCATTAGCAGTCCCATCCAGCACCTCCCAGCCCACAGCCTGTGGAAGACACTAAGCTACTTTCTGTCATGATGAATCTGCCTATTTTGAACACTTTGTATAAATGGTGTCAAACCATGCATGAGTGTTTCAGGCCCATCCATGATGTGCCATCTCTCAGTGCTTATTTCCCTTTTATTTATATTGAAGTGCTGCATTTTCCTTATCTATTCATTACTGAATGAACTTTGCATGGCTTTCACTCTCTGGTCTTATGACCAAAACTGCACTAAACATTCACATACAAAAACAATGTGAATGTGTGTTTTCATTCTTGTGGGTATGTATCCAGCAGAAAAATTGCTGGGTGACATGGGAGCTTTACGATTCATGAGATGAAGTAATGAACTGTTTTCACATTATTTCCCACTCTTCCCAACACTTGTATTAATCTCAACTCTTGTTCATAACCTCCATAATGAGTGTGAAATGTTTTCTCACTGTTTTGGTTTTAATTATCTTAATTAAGAAAAACATTTTCAGGTGCTTATTTGTCATTTGTGTATCTCACAGAAAAATATTTATTGAAATCTTTCAGCTATTTATTAATTATGTAATTTTCCTTTTCATTGTTAAATTGTAGAATATATTTTTTTTAAAAAATATTTTTTAGTTGTTGATGGGCCTTTATTTATTTATTAATTTATATGTGGTGCTGAGAATTGAACCCAATGCCTCACACATGCCAGGCAAGTGCTCTACCACTGTGCCACAACCTCAGCCCTGTAGAATATCTTTATGTATACTAATTAGTAACTCTTTTTTTAGTTGTTGATGGGCCTTTATTTATTTATTAATTCATATGTGGTGCTGAGAATTGAACCCAATGCCTCACACATGCCAGGCAAGTGCTCTACCACTGAGCCACAACCTCAACCCTGTAGAATATCTTTATATATACTAATTAGTAACTCTTTTTTGGCATTATTAGTGTTCAGCAAATCCAATATATATTAGAAATATTTTACCAATTCTGTGTGTTGTACCCAAATCATTGTCTTACTATTATCCTTCAAGAGACCGTTCAAAAAAATTTTTTTCATGATGCCTAATTTGCTATTATGTGTCTTGTCTAAGAAACCATTATACAATTGAGGACCATAATGATTTATTCTTCTGTTTGTTTTTAGTGTCTCACGCTAATTTCTATGATCCATTTTGTGTTAATTTTTGTGGTTGGTGTGAGAAAGAGGTCCAAATTAATTGTTTTGTTCATAGCTCTCTATTTGTCCCTACACAATTTTGTTGAAAATCCATTATTTCCCTAATGAATTGCCACAGAACACTTAAACAAACTCCAGTGATCATAGACAAGAGTTTATTTCTATGTTGTTAATTCTACCCAATGGTCTATATGTCTATATTTAAGACAATCTCACATGGTCTTGATTGCTGTAAATTTCTAGTTTCCAGATGGAGAAATGTGATCCCTCTGACTTTACTCTTCACTCTCATTTTTTTTTATTACTCTGGGTTCTTTGTTTATTCAAAAAAGTTTTATGATAACCTGTCAACATCTACAAAAACACAGCTGGAATTTTCATGGGACTGCCCTGAATTTGCATATCAAGTTGGGAGATGTTGCTGTTTCCACAACTATAAAGCTTTTAACTCATAAATGTGAGGTCCTTCCATTTATGTAAGTCTTCAATTCCCTTCAACAATACTTTGTAATTTTAAGTGCAATATCTTGAATTATTTTCATTTACTTTATTCTTAAGTAATTCATCTTTCTTCATGCTATTATAAATGGACTTTATACTGTTCATTTTAAATGTGTAATAAAATTTAATTGCTATGTTGGTCTTGTAATCTACCATTAAATTTAAGAATTTAATTACTTCTTAGATTCCTTATGCTTTTCTATATGCAAACCTATGTCATTTACAAACAGAATAGTGCCACATTTTCTTTCCAACCTGGATATCTTTAAATATTTTTGTCTCATCTGATTTTCCTAGCTAGATTCACTAAGATTGTGTTGAAAAAAAGTACATGGAGTGAACATCTTGTTTTGTTAAACATCTTAAGGGAAAGTCTTTCATTCTTTCATCATCAAGTGTAATTTTGATGTTTTTTTATGTTACTGTTATTTTCTCATGAAAAAGAAAAACATTTTCTTATCAGAAGACTTGAGAGGATTATTAATAAGTCATAGAAAGTTTTGGAATATTAAAAGTTACCAGAAAAATTCTTTGGATGGTTAGAGATTCATAATTCTAAAAGCCACTCTTAACAGCACAAAACACAAATAAAGTTCTATCTGATATTTGTTTACAAGTTACATATTACTGGGATCCCAAGGCCTTTGAATGATAACACAGACAAAGAACAGGTACAGAACTGAACTGAACAGACTTGTATTCTATTTCAAATTTCATTGTGTGGTTGATAAAAAACCTATTCTAAAAATGTTCTTCTCTTCCTGCTTAGAATTCTCAGAAGAAAATGGCAGAAGGAAATCATTCCCTTGTGACAGAGTTCATCCTGGCTGGATTAACAGACAAACCAGAGCTCCAGCTGCCCCTCTTCCTCCTCTTCCTAGGAATCTATGTGTTCACAGTGGTGGGGAACCTGGGCATGATCACACTTATTGGGCTCAGCTCTCACCTGCACACCCCCATGTACTATCTCCTCAGCAGTCTCTCCTTCATTGACCTCTGTCAATCCACTGTGATCACCCCCAAAATGCTGGTGAACTTTGTGACAGAGAAAAACACCATCTCCAATGCTGAATGCATGACTCAGCTCTACTTCTTCATTGTTTTTGCAATTGCAGAGTGTCACATGTTGGCTGCAATGGCATATGACCGCTATGTTGCCATCTGTAATCCCTTACTGTACAATGTTACCATGTCTAATCAAGTGTGTTTTTGGTTGGTATTTGGGGTGTATAGCATGAGCTTGATTGGTTCCACAGCCCACACAGCCTGCATGCTAAGAGTGCTCTTCTGTAAAACCATAATAAACCATTACCTCTGTGATCTTTTCCCACTATTGGAGCTCTCCTGCTCCAGTACATTTATAAATGAGGTAGTTGTTCTGTGCTTAAGTGCATTTAATATCTTTGCCCCAGCCCTGTCTATCTTTAGTTCCTATATCTTTATCATTGCAAGCATCCTGCGTATACCCTCGACTGAGGGCAGAGCCAAAGCCTTCAGCACATGCAGCTCCCACATTTTGGCTGTTGCTCTTTTCTTTGGTTCTCTAGCATTTATATACCTGAAGCCATCATCTGTCAGCTCCCTGGACCAAGGGAAAGTATCATCTGTAATTTACACCATTATTGTGCCCATGTTGAACCCTCTAATCTATAGCCTGAGAAATAAAGATGTCAAAGTTGCTTTAAATAAGCTGCTTGACAGATATAGTTTCCTGTGGAAAAGAGTATTTTGCTTAGAAAAATGACTATAAATCACATATATTCAATAAGGAAACCATTGAGCAATATCTATCAGTGAATTATGAGATTATTACTGATACCTGATTGTTTGGAAGATAGGTGCCCAGACTGGACTAAATTCACAGGATCACTCACTGCACATCTCTGGGATGTGTCACAATTCACATTTCCTGAGTAAATTTTATCACTTCTAGGTAGTTTTAAAAATACTGCAAAAACTCATCATATTTGATTATGCCTTATATCCATGATACATGATTCTTTCTAGACAGGATTTATTTATCTTAATTCAGAAAATAAATACATTTAGATTGTATCTTTTGATATTCTTGATTTTTTCCTGATATTTTAACCTACTATTTGTGATTCTAAAACTGTTTTTTTCAAAATACACAAATTTAACCATTTTTAATATATAGAATATGATCTTATCTTGTTACTATGTATGTGAAACCACACTAGGAAATATGAAGGCTTATGATGGATGATATTTCCTATCCAGAAGAAAATATCACTGTAGAGGAAGAGATTGGGAATAATACACAAGACATTTTAACATGTATCTTTGCAATAATCCAAGCTTCACATTTTTGGGACTAGGCTCCCACCTCTACCTCCCAACACTTCCATACTCATTTTCCCTCATCCCAGAGAGGTCATGCCTCACCTCCTCATATAATATAATTTCTGGTTTAGTTGTGTCATTCTTTTCCTATTGCATCCATATGGGGCATTTATTCATGTAGAAAAGTTAAAAATTGCAAAATTGTCTTTTTAAATAATAAGAACCACTTCCTATTCAAAGCTCACTCTTCATTATGGGAGAAAAATAGTTCTTGGAAGAAAGGAGGAAGTCTTTCTCCCCAAAATGTTTTTTCTTTCCCTTGTCCAATTAAGTTTCTATTGGGACTCTTGGTAACATCAAGGAGAAAATTTTGAATTAGTCCTCCTGAGTGATAATCCTCATTATTGGTAAGTCTCATGAGCTCTCTGTGACATTCAAGATTTGCTCAGTTCCCCAACTTTCTATTCCTGCTGATATTAATATTGGATGATTTTCTCCTTTCTCCCTAGAATATTTTCTCAGAATCATAGAGACCAGATATATCTGTTTTATTTGAGGGTCACTTCAATATGTCACAGCATGGTTTTGTTCTGTCTTATGCTCCTAAGCTTCAAAGTCTTCAAAAATTTGCATTAAGGAGAAAAGCACAGACATATCCAAGTAACATCACATTCTTCTCTGTTTCTCTCTGTGATGCTGTGCCCAGTCAGAACACCTGGGACTACTGATTCTTCTTTAACTCAACATAAGCATTGAACTTATTTAAGGTAAATTTTCAGAATCATCTGCCTCATTCCAGACGGAAAGAACACTGCTTGTTTTGTCGGCAGCTGGTCTTCCAATACGTGACATGAACACTCCAATGCAGTACCATGTTTATCACTCTGCAAAAGAAAAACTTATAATGAGAAAGGAGACCATTCTCCATGTTGAAAATCAGAAGAAACTTCTTGATTTTCTATGTACTAACCCTTTCTTATTTTCATACCCCAATTTATTATGCCACAAAAATATATTTATTTATGTATATCTATCCATATGTGGGTATATGTGTGAGATACTTGCATGTATACATGCTAATGTTTAACAAATATGTATATGTAGGCTTTCCATTAGTATTGTTTGGGTATATTATATAAGGTTTTATGTATGTAGTAGTAAATTACTAGTCTAAGCATTAAATGAATAACATTCAGAAATGTTTTCATATTAATAAGTGATAGATATAAATAACTATCTATAAAATGTTAAGTTATTTTTCCAATCATTTATTTATGTATTAAATATGTTCAAAGTTATTTAGCAAAATAGAAAGGTCCATACTGTCTCTAGTAATTCTGAGATCTTATAAAATATATGCTGTCAGAGATATTCCAAAATGGAAAGGGAGCTCTACTTTAGCTCTTCTTTTTTTAAAAAAAAAAAGTGATTAAGTAATTTTAAGAATAAGACTGAAGATCTTGATTCTGTAGCTAGAAGATGGCAGAAGGGAGCTAGTCAGTAATTCTTGATTTCCTCACATTTTAGAAAGGACACAATCAAGAAAAAGTAGAATCGAGAGTTAGGTGACAAAATGAATGCTATAAGATTCAATACTTCTGGGGGTATAGCTCAGTTCGTAGAGTGCTTGCCTTGAATGAACAAGGCACCAAAAAATAAAAATAAATAAATAAAAGATCCAATACTACAAATAATTCTGAAACCTGAAGAGACTTGGAGATTAGTTACTGAAGTAGAAAATAAGTGTAGGTTTTCCTAACCCAGAACCAGAACTAGGGTGGGGGAAGCAGAAAAATTTAAGCTCACTCATTTAAAAACATTCAGAAAGATAGGCAAAATTTTAAGTGTTACCAGACAGAAATGTTCCTGAAGCAATTTAAACAGCTTAAAACCAAATTGTGAAAAGAAAGTTGTGCTGGAAGCCCACGGCCATTTTGTGGAGACCCTTAATTCACGAGTCACCCCGTTAAATCAACACAGTATCTTCCCACATCCAGATTCATATTAAGCCAGAAGGAAGTCCCCTGCAGTGGGACATATTAAGAATCTGGCTAGAAAGAACTCCTGGAAGAAGCACTCCTAACTGAAAATCACTAAAACTCCCCCACCCCCTCACCATGAAAAAAAGGATCGGGTGGAGCAGAGCTGTGTGAGGGAGTATGCCTAACCCAGAGCTCTTCTCAGCCTCCTTGTGACAAAAATCTCTGCAGAGCTGCCACAGGACCCAGGCAGAAACAAGCAGGAAGACAGTCTTGACCCCAAAGAGAAGAAAGTGTATCCAACAGGACCACCAGCCTGATCTCTCACAATACAGGGAGGCACCAGGGGAAGTCTAGGGACTGTCCATTTGATCATGGGTCCTGTACCAGAAGGAAGCTGCCTGAATATCCAGTGACATAGAGATTCTATTTCCACATGGTGGCAGCCATTGGCAGAAGGCCGCTAGAAGATATTGCATGGTACCCCAGAAAACATAAGTAGAAGGCACTTGCAACCTTATCCAGAGAGAGGCCAGTTATGGTAGAAAATTGCCACCTGTCTCCAAGTCTGAAACCTGTCTACAAGTGTCAAGTAAAAGGTCATTATCTGGACACTGGCTGGACTTCACATCAGTCACCATCAATAGAGGGAATCTGCCTTCCATTCATAATCTGGGGCAGTAGAAATTAGAATCCAGGTAAACCACCTGAGTCCCTTTACTACAGTAAAGAACTGCATCTGCAGGGTAATGCTTCTCTACCATGGAACATCTGCAGAAAATCCACAACCAGAGGACCTGTGTTTTTAGATTGCTACAAAATACTGTGCCACCTTGGAAAGAGTTGTACAGAGAGAAATAGGTATACAGTGATGCACAGCAATAAAAGACACACTCCAGAGCCTGCTTCCTGAACTCCTGCATACAATAGAAACAACCAAGACACAACACTGCACCCTATAAGCAGTCAGCCACAGATGAGCTGACAAAGAAGAACCAACTGATGGGAGGTCCAAAGCAACTAGGGAAAGGGCTCCTGTACCCCAGAAACTCTGGAGGCATCCACAGACAAAAAAAGGATAGATAACTGCTAAATGTCTAAAACTCAATGGAATCCAAAGAAGATTCAACAAGAACTTCCTTTGTTTTGCATGGTTTACTATAAATAACTCTAACGTCAACTTTGATCATATAAATCACTCTTTAACTTGATTGAAAGTTGTTACTGTAATAGCTTACATTGTACCTTCAACCCATTTTAATTTGCTTCTCCTAAGGATTTAAAGCATTAACTGCAATGAATCTTTCTATATTTGTTTCCATTGCTCTAGTTTATAATTACTCCTCTTACCCCCTATTTGTCTTCTTACACATTCACCATTTTCTCAAATACCCACCATCCATCTCTCCTTTCTACCTCATTATGCATTTTTCTTCTCTTTTTTTCTCAATATTTTTTGCCCAATATTTATTCTTCCCCTCTTGTATCCCTAATTTAATATTATAGCAATTTTATTTAATTTAATAACTAATATTTTACCTATTCCAGAACTCAGATTTTATACCTGGATTTGAGAAACTGTGGAGAACAACATCAAGAAGGTTTTTGTTTCTCATAAGGCTGAATAATACAAGGCATGGCTTTGAAGTGATTGTAGTAAATAGGGCTCAGTATCTTATCTCAAGGTGGTGATGATAGAGGCAGAGATCATACACTGAGTTAAAGTATCATTATCTGGGTATTCACCCAACACAGGGTTCTTAAGAAAGAGGAGCTCATAAAGTAGTATCTTGCTTAAAAGAAGTGATAACTATCACAATGGATGAGTAGTCGTACAAACAATATGAAAAAGCCAGGGAACTAACCACCAAAATCCCATAATTTGGTGGTTAAAACAAACTGACTCCATCAACACCATAGAGAAGGAGTGTATATATAAAGAAAATGTAAACAGTGAAATTAGAGGGGAAAATACAGAAAGTGAAAGATCCCTTCAATAATAAGAGATTCTGAAAAAGAACCAAATGGAAATTCTAGAAATGTATAATGATTTTATAAATATTTGGTTTCAACTAACTATATTTATTTATAACTCAATAAACCAATTAAGAATTCAATGGGAAGCATTACTAATAGATTATCCCACTTTAAAGATAAATTTTCAGTCCTTAAAGACAAAGTATATAATCTGCATTATAAGACATACTCAATGAAATATTTCATGAAGACTAAAAGGAAAAAAGTGAAAAGCAGGGAAGAATTACACTAAAATAATAGTCAATCAAAGAAGAATCAAGTCTGATTTAAACATTAGAGGTGCTTCAAAAAAACATGAAATAAAGAGTCTCTCTCTATAATAACATTGAATGTAAATGATTTTAACTCATCAATCAAAAGATGTAGGTTGGCAGGTGGACTGGAAAAAAAAAAGTACCCAACAATTTGCTGTTTGCAAGAGACT